CCCAATTGGTGGCTGACTAAATACTTTTTTGCCCCACTGTATATATGTCAGGCTCAGGTTGAGCCAGGGAGTTGGGGGTTCAATCAAATCAGGGTTTATTCTACTTGGGGCCCATTGTGCAATCATTGTAATAGCTATTGAAATTTGCTTGCTTCATTTCCATATTTTTCCTCTATCTCTGATTTTATCCTTTTTATATTTTTCCTCCCTTTATTTCTCTTTTCATTTTCTTCTCTTTCCTTTATTCCTTTCTTATTGGTTGCTTCTTTATAGGCATTCCACATTTAATATGTTGTTTTCTGTTCTTTCTCTCCTTTCTTTTATTGCCACTCACTGAGCTTGGCTACAATACTACTGCAGGTAGAAGGCAAATAGAGAAGGAAGAATACTCTTCTGTAATGTAAGGGTTATCTTAAAAATCAAAAATTCAACTGATTTACTTTGGAGGAGTCTAACAAGAGGGCTGTTATAAAAATAGAATGAATAAGTTATACTTCATCTGAAAATATACACACTTATTAAGTGTATTAAGGAACAGGATCAAAATTGCTAATGTAAATCATTATATAACCCAAAAATACACTACCTACAGTACAGATCACTTCACAGTACTTGGTGATATTATGGTTAGATACATAGAACAATTGCATGTGGACTTAAATAAACAGTGGTTTAATGTTACACATATCTCAGCATATGAAGAGAAGGGATTAATCATTATCACACTGTGAGAACAGTATCTTAATCCTAATAATAATCCTCTTTTTCCTCACAGAAAAGCTCCTACTGCTATCAGTGAATGGGTCTTTCCAAAGGCTAACATTATGGTCATCAAAATTAACTGGAAATGAATGTATTTTTTTCTTCCCACAGCCCTAGACTGCCCTTCCACTATTTCATGGTTGCTATCTACAAGTGGGGGAAAAAAAGCTGCACACAGAACTAAACCACAAGTCAGTATCACATAGAAACTGAGCCACAGACCCTGTAAGATGTATCTATAGCTATACAAATTAATCAGTTCAAAAAGCTCAGATGTGCATTATAAATCATAAGGTGATGGAAAAAGTATACATAATTCAACTATATACATAGAAAGGTATATCCAACCACTGACTGAAGTAACTAAATATCTTACCTTACTGAAAGGTAAGATAATTTATTATGATAAATAACCAGTTTACTATTTATTATAAGCCAATGTCAGTTTTGACTTTGAATACAGGTGATTTTTAAATGAGGAGGACATGACTTACCCATAGCCTTATAATGTATTTACTCCTATACTGGGATTTTGATTCTGTTTTTCCAAGTGATTAAACTCATATATAAATGACTGACATTCAACCAGTTAATTCTCATCAAGCTAAATTACTAAAATAACTCATCTCTTTGACAGTAAAATATGAATAGGCTTCACAGAACCATGCAATTCATAATTTCACTAAGCATCATTTAAAATAATTCCTAATGTATTAAACTGGGATAAACCTTTAGCATGAGCATTTTCTCAAGTGCCAAGATCTTCAAAAGATCTTGGGGCTGGCAAGACTACTGCAAGAAGTGGAGATGAGCCAGTGCAATCTATGCATCTTAACAGTTAAAAAGCAGTCCTTCAAATTGATCCTCAATGCAACTTGGCTCCCAAGGTAGAGAGTTAATCCTTCCGGCAGTGAAGCTCCATGGTGGAGTCCCTGTTTGGCATTCAAAAAGATTCATAATCAGTCCACAGCTTCTGTGGTTTAGGATAATCAGGGGGCAGGAGAGAGAACGATCTTTCCTGCCCCTGCCTCTAGAAAGCCACACCACCCTCAGGAGACCACGTTGGTCCAATGGGGCAATGAAGACCCAATTAACCAAATTCACCAAAATCAATGGCCATAAATAATTAACCAAAATCAATGGCCATAGTTTTCCTGCTCTAAGCATATTTAAATATTTTCTAAATATTTAGTTGTTAGATATTATTTAGGTGTGCAACAAGCAAAAATGTACCAAAAACATTAAAAAAGTGATTCCTTCTTAATTATCAGTCGATACCACTACTGAGGAGAGGAAAAAAACAACAACACTGCAAGCATGCATTGTTGTTTCTAGATAGGAAAATATTTTTGTGAGTAAGTGTATCATCTTGATTAAAAGCTATATAGTAAAGTTGACTTACAAGTATTATTTTACTAACTAGTCAATAAAAAGGAAATTAAATATTACAGGATTAAGAACATTAATGCTAGATAGAACTACCAAATATGATTAAGATTCTCCAAAAACTACCAACCAGTAGATACATTACTATCAAGTTATTCTATCATATTTTATCAACTATCAACCCCCTTGACAAATAATATCCATACACCAGACACTTAGATCAGATAACATGCAGCTGAGCTTCAACAAAAGCTATATTATTTGTCTAGGTTAAATGAAGGTTTCTAATGCTTGATCTGAAAAAAAAACTTCTTTAAGATACATAAATGGCTGTTTCCTAAATAAACTTTTAAACTTAGTAACATTACTTGAATTCTAAATCCTCATAAGGTAATACATATTACTACATTTAAAAGTTTATTTAGGAAACAGTGATATCTTCTTGACTAATGCATTTGACGCTTATTTTGTGGGGGGGGGTTTACACTTTGGTATTTTTATGCTAAAACTTGTATTGTAGGCATTATGCACTACAAATAAATGAATTAGGAGTTTTTATCAGATTAGCAAATTGAACTCCACAATAAGCAGAAATGGATTAGTGTAGCAAAACTCTGAACAATTTATGATTTCATTATTATCAGGCCTCTGAATGATGTAATATGTATAAACTACAATATAAAGCTCCGCCTAACAAGAACAATTCTGCAAATAGTGCAGAATACATACATCCCTCCCAAAGCCAAGACCAAAAAGGGCAATACTTTTTCAGAAAATAGCAGACACTACTTTAATGATTTAGACTGCACAATATTCAGGAAGCCAAGTCCTCAAGCACACTTAATAATACGCTTTAAATTTTTCTTTGCTTTCAAGATATGCAAATGCTGCAATAGTGCTGTCTTAAAACACTTGATACCTGACAACATCTGTAAGACTGAAGGAAAGCTTTCCCCACTTTTTTAACAACCAATACAAATATGACTGTTGTTAGATTTACTACACGAATAGTCTACTCATCTTCTTTGACACGGAGAGGAAGGGAATTCTGAGTATTTCCTCTCAACCCAAATAGTTCACTCACCCAAGCAAAGATTAAAATGGTTAAACTGGCTGTAGTAATATTTCCACAAACTATGCAGAGCAGTCAATCAACGTGCAAACGGATCAATTTGCACATCATACACGGGAGAACAGATGAGAAACATAAAAACATTAAAAAAAGAAAAGTGGTCAATAAGTGCTTCACTTCTACTTGTTTTGTATTTCTTCTAATAATATTGAGCCAACCTATAATTCCTTTCAAAACAAAGACTGACTTATTACATATACTAACTTTGGTTGTGCCTATACATAATACTATACGGGTACTGTTACATGGAAAAAAAATTATTTAAGTGAACAGTAATCTACTAACTTCAGATGCAACAGCAAACTATGGCCTGTTTAAAAATCCCTGGCATATAAAAGGAGAAAGGAGCACAGATACCTGAAGCATGACTTTGAGATTATTCTGAACAACAAATGTTCAGATTAGAGCCCATCTAGGTGGCAGAATTTAACAAACCATGGCTAATCCCAAACAAACTAAGCAGGTCAAGATAGGATACAACTTGAATGAGATACTGTCAGGAAATATTGGGGTATAGCCTAGAATGAGAACTTGAAAAAATATTCTGGAAGAAGATAATGGCAATACGCTACCATATCATTTCCCCAAAAAATAATATGTCATGTCCACGAAGCCACGAGGAGTTGAGCTAAACACAAAATAATATTTTTCTCTTCTTTACTTTAGAAATAGTATAAAGAAATAATTAAATTAAAACAGTAGAGTCCTTGGGTTCTCTGAACTTGGTTGTTTTTTTGCAGATGTTTCATTACCCAGATGTTACTAGGTAACATCTTCAGTGCTAGAAGGAAGTCTGTTTCTACACAGTAGCTTGCCCTGTCAGTGTTGAAGGAGGTGTTGTTTTTTTCTTGGTAGTTCCTAGATTAGGCTGTTGTTTACTGCTTGATTGCTTGTCTGGTGTTAATCCTGGTGTTAATCCCTGCTTATCTAGATGTTGATTGCTGGAAAAGAGGTGTTCTAGTCTTTTTCTCTTCCTTTTTATTATCTCTTTTGAATGGTCTGTAAATGTTGTTTATGAGCCTGTTGATGGCTGACTTGTCTGACTACCACACTTCCAGGAATTCCCTTGAGTTATTACAGTTTCTACAGTTCAACCCTGAGCTACATATATTCTCTTCTAATTAAAACAGTGTTGCACAGGTCCACTTATGCATATAAGGTCATTAGAGTGACATACAATATATGAGTGTAAAACATACATCCAGAATCTAATTTATGCAGCCACTCAGTTTGCATGCAATCATCATCATAATGCAGCAATGAAACAATGAAGCTTAACTGTTAAAAAACATACAGAAATGAAAGAGGAAAGATTTTATTTGCCAACTAAAAGACCCTTTACTGTTTGCATTTTAGGCAAGCAGTCTTTCCTAGCTTACACAGTATTGGTGGAAACACTGCAACAGCATCTTTCGTTTATGTCTAAAGGTTAGAGGAAAGGGAGGAAAGGAAGAGCAAGCAGATGTACATGTTGATGAGAAAGGAAATAAGCCTCCAATTCTAGAAGGAGCTTCCTGGGGAGGGGTAGTAGCGGAGAATCAATAAAATTGTTAACAGATTGCAGCATTGTATTGACAGATACAAGGGGACTGAAAACATAATATATTCTAAAGTAGGCAAACACAGCTGGATGCAAGAGAAGGATGAAGAGATTATCTCTTATCTTGCTATACTGAAAAGACCTGGGTTCAAATCCCTACTCAAGAATGGAGGTATTTGGTAACTTTGGCACATCACTTTCACCCTAACTGATTTCACAGAGCTGTTGTGACAACAAAATGGAGAGGCATCTGTATACATTTAATTAATTAAATATCTCACAACAGTAAATATTTCCACTGCTTTACTTCATAATGAAGAAAATGCATATAAAAGGTTATTTCTGAAATGGCTGATCACAAAGCAAAAACATTGCTAGTTCTTCACAAAGGAGTATAAGTAATTTACAAGATAAGTATCTTTTATACTTTCAGCATTCAAGATTAACCCCTTTTAAAAGAAGTGTTTTATTTATTATCTGCAAGGGTACCAAGAACATCTATCACCTTTCTAACTGCTTAACAGATACCACCAGAGATCCATACAAATTAAGGTACACAAACATTAATCTTCTTCTTCTTCTTCTTTTTTTTTTTTTTGCAGAAAAAGAAAAAAAATACCTCTGCATCTTACAAAGGTTATTCATTAATTATGACATGCCTATTTAATGTGTAGTGACTGTTAATTTTAGTGCCCATTTAAATGTTTCAATATTTCATTAGGTCTCAAAATAGAACTCACTTGCTAAAATAAGCAAGATACACTAAGCCAAAATGCTCATAATAATGACTGTGAGAGTAAAGATTATGAAAGAAACATTTGTTCCACTTGCCTTCATGTGTTTCCAGTATGTGCATGGTGTCTCCTATTTGTAACGACAGCTCATCTGGACCCCGGGCCTCATAATTATAGAATGCTAGAAGGGGGAAGAAGAGGAAAAAAGGTCACTGTTTTAGCATTAAAAAAAAAAAGCCAGAAGGAAAAACATCAAGTAAACAAAAACTTTAAGTACACACACACATTTATAGCCATTATTGTGTTGGCATCGTCAAATCAAAGTTCCTCAGGCATATATCAAGCTTAACTCTCTGTATAGATTAATTTAGCCTAATATATTAACAGTGGATCCTACACATGTCTACACAAAAGTAAGCCTTACTGAATATCAGGTACATGGACATGTATTTCAACTAGAAAATATAAATTGTGTTAGTGCTTTTGTTGAAAATAATCTACGAAAAATATGCAATAGAAATCAATCTAGTAAATATAAAGTGCATCTTGGTAACCTGGAATGCCATCTCCCTCTACAGTTTCCTTCATCTGAGGCTCATTCAATGATATTGATTTGGATTACTTTACTGCTAGTCTTGATATATATCCAGTAATCCTTCAAGATGGCTGCATATAGTCACCTTACCAGCATTCAGATACCCAGAATTATTTCCTTTTTCAAGAAAATTGTTTTAAGACCAGTCTCAAAGAACTGATGATAGTAATAGTGATATACAGAGCTCCATATGATTCCCTCTTGTTCTTTACCTTGTTTAATCTTTAAAGAAACCATTGGGGGAAAAAAACTTCAGGTTCTAGAATGTCACTAGTATGTGTCATCAGAATGCTAGGTCTTTGTCACTTAATTCCAGGTAAGAGACTGATAATCTTGAATGCTTCCAAAATTAAATAATAGGCTGGATCAGGATGAACAAATTAAAATTAAATCCAGGCAACAATGCAGTGCAACTGATCAATATGAGACAAGGCTAGGGAATTGGAGTTTAGCTTGTTCTCAACTGAGTTGTGCATCATGGTATTGTGGGATTTACATGAAAACCAAAGTTTCTCAGGGCAGATGTTGATTAGGCCAATAATCAACAGTCACCAAGCTCTAAGACTGAGTGGTTCAAGGCTAAATTGATGGAGCCAAAAAATAATAATTACAGCAGCAGCAGCAGCAACAACCATTTTCTACACTTATAGAGTTTTTTTAAAGTGTAGAAATGCTAAGAAAAAGTCAAAAGGTACTGTATATAAATTGATATAATATAAATAAATAAATAGCTCTTATACCTTGTCATACAGCATATCCAAAGACAAAAACCCAAGAGTACACTGCCTGAACATGACTTGTAAACTCCAACATAAAAACATGAGTTTAATAAATGGGTCAGCATAAACAGACATATTTGACTGAGTTGCTAGATTATCTCTATGCAGATGTCTCTTTCTGCACATCTCTACTAAAAGCTTAAAGGTTCTACCTAAGTAACAACTATATACAAAACATCAATATCTGAAACATTTTAAGCTTGAAATTGTCATATCAGTATTTTGAGCTCAAAACCAACCATGTATATCCTGAGACTTGTTTGAGGCTTTGGACAAAAATCAGGAGAAAAGTTGCCTCTTACAAGTGACTTTGTTTTGTATGCATGTAAATTTTTAAACTTTTGCTTGTAAATTGTTTTTGCTTTTATTTTTCTCAGATTATTCACATGAGTAACTCACAGTGCAAACCCAGAAAGTCCAGGTGATTAATCTGCATCCCACTGAAGATGCTCTCCCCCTTTTCTGAATAATCCTCCAATCAGACATAAGAAGAAAGTGACAAAGCAGTGTACTTTTCCCTGGAGCCTATGAGACTCTTCTGACTGAAAGGACAATAAGGACTGGCAGCTTTGTACATGCACAGATCCTGCTAGCAACCAAAGTGTACTTTTGGATGTTAGTGTTGCTTATGAATGACCTAGGGAATGTACATTGTGGGGAAGATCACTTACTAGAGATGGATGACAACCTTTCTAAGTTCCAGCAGCCAAAAGAAAAAAAACTTTTCACATTTTGCCAAAGATCTCAATCACTTCATTAAATTCCCTCCTTTGGGGCTGTTTCAGTCAGTGTTGGTTTGGGAGAGGTTTCTCCCTAGGCTCCTGCTTTGTGGGGTACCACAGGACTTGAATCTGTCTCCTCTCCTATTCAACAGCTACATGAAACTGCTAGGTGAGGTTACCTACTGGTAGGGGGTTTAGAATCATCAGTATGCTAATTATTACCAATTATATCTTTCAACTCCAGGCCAGGCAAGTGAGACTACCAAAGTCCTATTCCCATGCCTGGAAGTTGTACAAGCCTGGATGGGGAGAAACCATCTCCAACTCAACTGTACCTAGACTGGGTGGCTGTGGGTGTTAGGGCCACTTAAATCTGGGGATATTCCATCTTTAACCTTGCACTTCCCCATTCAAGAGTGGTGTGCAATCTTCTTGGACTCACAGCTCCTGCTCAAGGTGGCAGCTGTGGCCAGGAAGGCCTTTGCATACCTTCATCTGGTACCAATTGAACCCTTTCTTGGATCAGGACACGCTGCAGACACTCATGCCCTAGTAACCTGACATTTCAACTACTGCAATATGCTCTACATGGGGTTGCCCTTGAAGATCACTCAGAATGCTTGGCTGGTCCAGAATGAAGTGGTGCAGGCATCATGGGCATGCCTTAGTATGCCCGCATGACATTCCGACTCTAAGAGCTGTACTGGTTGTACTGCCAGTTTGCTTCCAGGTGTGATTCAAGAGCCCATTATACAAATACAATACAATACAAATACTTTAATGACCAAGTATAAAATATACACAAGGAATTTGTCTTCGGTGATGAACAGCTTATGACTTATAAAGCCCTATATGGCATAGGCCCAGTTATTTGTGGGACTGCCTAGTTCCCATGATGTCTGCCTGGCTGATACAAGCTGAAGGGTCAGTGTACTCTGAGTTCCTTTGATCAAACAGAGGCATCTATCAAGACCCAGGAAGCATGCCTTCTCTGTTGCAGCACCTGCCTCTGCAGTGAGGTTCCTCCCAAGATCCAAGTGGCTCCCACCTGATAGAATTCCAGAGGGCCTTAAAGGCCTGGCTGTTTTCCCAAGCTTTGGACTAGGGTGACTGGAGCCCCTCAGTGGGAGCTAACCGCATATGTTCTTGTGTTGTGGCTGGATTCACCATCTTGTTCTTTTCTTTCCTATCCTTTTTTAGTTTACTTCTCGTTCAGTATTACTTTGTTCTTATTTATCTTGTTTTTTATTTTGTTCATTGTATTTGTGAGCTGCCCAGAGTCATTCTGGATTCAGGTGGTGCCAAATTAAATACAAATAAAAAAATAAATAAAAATAATTTTCATTTAAAAATAATACCAAGATATTGCTGACCACTAGTATAACCAAACAGGTTTTGCTAATAAGAGCAAGAGGAAATGGTTTGTTTATAAGTATTTCTTGGCCTGAAATAAAGCCAAGGGGGAAAAACCCAATCTCTTATGCAGAAGGCATTGCTCAAACTAAGAAAGGATTTCTTCCTACAGTATAGATTATACTTTTGCAGCGTCCATTTGTATACCTTCAACAGACATCCTGTATCCCAAATGGTCCAACTGGGGTAGGTGAAATGCACATTTCTCCAACTTAGCAAGAAGTTGTGTTTGTGGAGTCTCTTTAAAACATCTAATGTGTGTCCCGTGCAAGGAAGGGTCTCATGCAAGGGTCTTCAGAAAAAAACAGCATGTCATCCAAATATATTACTACATACTTGTCTAAAATGTCAGGAAATATTTCATTCATGAATCTGGAGAAAACTGCTCCATAATTAACCAAACCAAAAGGTATCACTATGTATTCAAATTTGCCAACCTGGTGTTGAATGCAGTCATGTATTCATGCCCTTCTTTTCATTCTATTCAACCTGTAAGCACTTCTCAAGTCTAACTCTGTAAAAATTTTGCCTTTTGGAGGTGGCAGAGGAGATCCCAAGTAAGAGGCAATAGGTAGTAAACCTTAATGTTACTTAGTTTAGAAGTCTATAATCATGAATCATCCTGACAAAATCCCCATCCCCCTTAGAGTTAAATATTGTGGGTGCAGATGCTAGAAGTTTGGAAGGATAAAAACAATCCTCTTCAAACTGTCATCAAATAGCCATCCAGTAATGGCTAACTCTGACATGGGATATCTCTTTGCTGGAATCTGGGCACCTGATTTCAAGTTGATGGTGCAGTCACATGTTTGATGGGGAGTCATGCAATTGCCTCCACCTCCCTAAATGCACTGCAAAGTCTGAATATCTCTTTGGCAAGGTAGGAGAGTCACCATGATGGGCTGGGAGTGGGGTGGAGGTAGGGGAACAATGAAAGGCTAAAACTATTTTGAGAGTGGCTGTAACAGAATTTTGCAAGTCTAATTATGTTGTACCTCGTCTTCCTTATAATTCAGTGTATTAGGGAGGTGTGTATCTGAGCCTCTTCCAAATATTATTTGTCTGCTGTAGACTTAAAATATGTTTTGCACCTTCTCACTTTCGAAATGAAGCTAACATATTCTGTCAAGGTCATGTTCCTTACTCTTTACACACAGAGTAAGTTCTGTGTGATCTTGTGCTATCAGTGCAATGGGCTAGTAGAGCACCACACCAGCCCTGCTCACAATGTCTATTGTCTCCATCATCATTGGCTTTTTGAGAGTCTAGATGGGTAAATTTCACTAATGTACTATGTTCTCATCTATGAATTTAGCAGTCACTTCCTAGTCTACAAGAGCAGAGACTTGCACTTTCTAGGCTGAGTCTAAACAAAAAGTAACAGGAACAATAATGTGTGTTTTCCTGCTGCGGCTGTCTGAACTCCCTTAATTATTTAACAGCCCCCCTTTCCAAGCTCATGGGAGATGCTCCTGGGTATGTGAAGTTCCCCAACACTACAGCCTTGAAGCGAGTCATGCATTTGCTTATAATGTGGCCTGTAGATCCACTGGTACAGCATTCTATAGCTGAGTCAGTAGCATAAATTATATCTGTGGAGGATCTGGTCCTATGCCCAAGAACTCTGCAGTAAAAGTATAAGCCCTGTTTATCTCCTGGTAATATAGATCTC